TTATTCAGATATCCAAGGATGTCCGGGAATAAGAAAAAGGAGAATGGCCACGGGGACAGCCAGTGTCCACTTAGTGCCCGCTACCATGAATTTAGTCGGGACGAATATTGGCGCGCCGCTCGGGTGACCAGTGCCAACGAAACTTCAAGTACTCGCGTTATTTAAGGGGGTACGAGATACGTACATTCGAGTTCCATCGTCGACCACTGGAGATTCCATCCGCCATAAAACGGCGAAAACTTCCCTTTCGGGAGAAAGAGAGAGAGCGAGGAGATATTGCGGAGGTCTAAAGCCGCGTCGTCCTTCCTCTATTTCCTTTTTTTCCCCCCCTTGCTCTCTTTCTCTCTCTCTTCTTTCTCCCTCCCCCCTGTCCTTCTCTCTCTTTCTCTCTCTCTCTCTCTCTCTTTCTTTATCCCTTTCCTTTCCTTTCTCACTTCAGTGTTCTGCGCCCCCCTTTTTTTTACTTAAGGCCGGAACTGGTGCGCGCGTCCGGACTCCCGGCGCGGTTGGTAGAAAATTTCGAGTTTACCCCCGAATTTCTTGTTGATCTTTCATCTCCCGGCTCTCCCGGAGCGGCGAGTTATCGGAAATTCAGTGAAGTAAAAACTTACTAGATTCGCGCGATAAATCTAGTTATTCGATCGCCAAGTGGTTCCCGCTAGATAAGAATAAAGTTTCACGGGAATACGCTGGAGCCGCCATTGACCCGGCGTATAGAACTTCGATTTAGGCACGTCCGCGTAATCAGCTGCCTAATGAGCCGAATCCAGAACTACAGGCTGTTTCCGTAATGGCGGATCTTCGACCAGGCACGTCCGAAGGATCATAAATCACGGGACGTTTTCGAGGGGCGAGAGTCCGAGATCCGGCGAATTTGGATATTTTCTTACAATCACTACAAATTCCGCTGTTCAATTCACGTGCGACGTCGAGATACGGATCGCTCGTCTCTTTCTCTCTCAGAGAGGAAAAGAGAGAGAGAGAGTTCAAAGAAAGTTTCGCGGAATTTTTAGATCGGTCGTGCAATGCCGTCGTCGTCGTCGTCGTCGCCACGTCGGCCGACAGGGTGCTCGATACTCGAAAGTAGTTATTTACTTTTATTGCCGCGCGTAAACTGACACGTAATTTCTGCAAGCGCGGCTCTCGAAAACGTCCAAGTTTAAACATATCGACTGCATGTGACTGCGACTATAATACGTCGGTAAATAGTGTTTCCCAAGAGCCGCGCCGGTTCGTGCAATCGCGTTAGGGTCAGGAAGCGTATTAAGATCTCGAACGTATACGACGCATGAGTCGACCACTTAAAATGGAAACGTCGGAAGATAGTCATGCCTGAGGGCTTCCAATTGGAGCATCGCGCACTCAGTGGAATCAAATCGGATCAGTATGGCCCAATCTCGAGGAGGAATATTTCGATTAGAACACTAAGAATTCGCGAAGGGGAAATAAGGACGGTGGCGCTCTTGCGCGAACGCGCGCGAGCCGTCGAATATTTCTGAAAATTATGATTTCTCAAAAGTTTCTGTTGCGTTCCTACGAGCCCGGAATCTACGGAAAATCCGACATTTACAGTTCTATCTTCTATCGTCGGCAAACGTAGAACGAAGCGTTCAACTTGGCCGATTGTTCCGTCGCGATATGTTTTACGAATCATTAAATAATCGGCGAACGCCGATTTTGTCGTTTGCATTTTTCCCCCTGATAATTTCGTGTTACGCGGAAACTTTCATCAGACGACAGAGATTCGTCGATTCGAGATGTCTCGCGCCATGTTAAATCCAAACTCGTGACTAAAGATATCGATATAAGTGAACATGCGAGAACTTTACGTGCCACGGACGACAGCATTAATCTCCAACGTGTGATAAAGCTCGATAAAACTACAGTTGTGTATACAGTTATCCTTTCGCCGGGCATCATCCCGAATCGACTTCATCTTCGCAATCTTTCTTTTAAATTCTCATTTTTTCTTTTATAGAATATCAGCTTCGTACGAAAACCTTCGCTATAGATCTACAATAACTCTTCAATTTTTCAAGCAGATATTCTCAATGTAACCGCTTCAAAACGTCGGGAGCAATTCCCCCAATCGATCTCCGATATCTGGAATCTCGATTTCTCTTTTCGCTTAAATCTCAAAAACTACGTCCACGGCGCGGACAAGTATTGACAGAAAAGCAGTGGCAGCTTCGCGTGTCGCTAAAAATCCGATATAAAATTAATATCCCGCCGGAAGCAATTTATTACAGTACTCTCTGGAAAGAGAGACATGTGTTATATAGAAACGTTAAGCGTCTTCTTAAAATATTGCGGCTCACATTCGTGCGCCTTAATGTGAAGCAAATTGCTTGTCGAAGACACAGGTTAATGACAGGTTAATAATAAAATATCCGGGAATAGATTTCGCTTTCGGGTGTTTGGAGCGGTACCACTTTATTCAAACTGAGAGAATCGTGCGACTCACTTATTCGAGCTGAAACTGTCTTTCGGTAATGCGACAGTTGGTGGATAAATAAAGTAACGGATGTGAACAAACAGCGAATAAGACAACTGAATTAATACAAACGAGAAGAAGAGTCGGGAGAACAATATTTGTCTTTTAGCATATTTGCAGAATGTTCGATTTTTATAGCGCTTCTCCCATCAAAGACCGTAACACTCGAATCGCTTCACTCCATGATAAATAAATTCAATTCTTTCATATCTGTTGTGTGTAAGTATATATATATATATATTGACAGTGGAGAAAGCAACCACAAACCTGGCCAGCAAACACAAAACTGGCCGTAGAACGAGTCCACTCCTGGAGAAACTAAGTTTCCCATTTTTCGTTAATTCGACACGTTCCATTTGCTCGCAATCTATGACGAAAAATTTTGCATGCTCTGAGTAGGATTACCAAATTTGTAACAATTAGATGTACAGAGGTAGACGTATCTTTCTTTGTATAATCATATCTTATCTGCATCTTGATATGAAATGCTTTTTTTAATATTTATTTAATTAATCGAAGGTTTTGCTAACTAACCACCTACGACACAATGTATGTGTGTATGAATGTGTGTATGTGTGTGCCATTTTCGATAGTGTGAACCACGCATTTCTCGAGTAGCGAGAATAATTGCGAAAGCGCATAAGAATGCAGTGCTCACACGATGAAACCACAATGGTGGTATAACCTATACGCGGGATGATGTCACATTGATTCGTTACACCTTTTCGTATAATAATTCTCAGCTATTAACCCGCGAAACGACCGACGATCAAAGATGGCGGAATCGTAAAAAGTTGACGACACCGCGAGCACCGTTTCGGTGCTGGGATATTTCAATCTGCTCCCTCCTTCTCTCTCTTTTTTTTGCAAAATAAGCATTCTGGAAGAAACAAAAATTTTTTTTTAAAGCTGATCATAGGTGGGGACGAGCGAGCTGTGCCGACATTCCCGGAATACTGAGAATAACGTTCGCCGGGCAATAAAGAGATAATGCCGAGCTTTGAGAAAAGAAGAGAACGTCCCTCGGTAAGTTCTTAACGGGACGTTCTGAGAACCTTCTATCCCCGAACGAGGCAATTACAGGCCGTGGTTTACCGGTCGCGTTTACACCCGTAGCCTGCTTCCACGGTATAGGCTAAGCCCCCGTACGATCGTAAACTTAGCTGACGGGGTTCAACCTCTTTGGCATTGGCGTTCGATATCTCGAGCAGCTCGCGCGTCCCGCTTCGACCACGTCGTGAAACCCGGTTGACCTCTTTCGTAGTATCAGTAAAAGTAATGCCGAGGGGACGCGGCAGAGCGGATAGAGAGAGAGAAAAAGAGAGAGGGAGAAAGAGAGAACGGAGGGTAAAGGATACGTGAGAGATCTATCGCGTCGCGGGAAGTAGATACTTTCAATAATGGCTTTCCCAAGGCTCCATGTGCGTGTTGTTTCTTATATTGCTATCGGGATCGGTACCCGATCGCCGCTGGGTGTCGCGAGCGGAATAATCGTTTCGCCGTGCGCTGATCGTTTTTTGATGAATGTCCCTTCTCCTCCTCTCCTGCACACGAGCGCGCTCGCGGACGCTTCACCACGAAGCGTTACTCATTCTTTATACGTCAATCGTGATTACGAACGAGCGGAACTTACACGTCGACGCGACGCACAAGCGAGCGAGCGAGAGAACGAGAGGGAGAGAAAGAGAGAGAGAGAGAGAGAGAGAGAGAGAGAGAGAGAGAAAGAGACTGTGCAACATTGATTGATAATAAAATAAACGCCGATGGCGTATAAATAAAACGACACGGCAGTCGATATTCCCTGCGTTGCGCGTGTGTACGTGTGTATAGTCTGTACGTGCGCGTGTGTGAATTGTTTTCCTAATTAAGGAATAATTTTATCGTCGTAATTCACAACGATAGAACATTACTAATATTTGACGCGCGATGAATTAAACGCGAAAATTGAGGAAAATTGGTATGCTAACGTCGATTAAAACATCACAGCGTAGCGTGCGTTTTATTATATATATATGTATTTGTATATGTACGTAGATGTGTATATATGTGTGTGCGTGTGTGTATATACGTAAATTTGTTAACACGTAATTCCGTACTTTACGTTTGCTAGAAGTAATTAATTTCCTGGTATGAACAGAATAAACACCGATACCCTAGCAAATGTAATTTAAAAATTCGCAGCGCCAAATTCGTTAACTTAAACCGTAATCGAGCTCTCACAATAAATCTCCGAACCGTTTCGCATTTTTCTATAGTCCATTGTGTAATGCATTAGAATGCTGTACAAATTTATGAATATTTACCAGCGGTTCGGTTTTCCTTTTTTCACGAATCAACTGCGAATTTTTATTGTGAATCCGGAGGAAGAAATAACGACGCAACTAATATTCGGGGATCCGGTGTGGCTGCGATTTACTAACGCTTGAATCATGTTTCTTAAACTTCTCCCCACGATGTGTTGCACGAGCAAACAGAGACTAAGGTGTTTCATCTTTTTGTCCCGCAGCGAACGCGAAACCGCTAACGTTCGACGAAGTTTACAATCAAAGTAGTCCGACCAATTGCACGGTGTACTGCGGTGGATTGACCAACGGTTTAACAGAGGATCTCATGCAAAAGACCTTCTCGCACTTCGGAACCATCCAAGAAATTCGAGTATTTAAGGACAAAGGCTACGCATTCATCAGGTAAATATATGTATATATCTTGACATGTTGCAACGAAAGACATCTCCCTTCATCTATAATGGGCGTTAATATGCATTTTCCATCACGCCGCTCTTCATACAGATTGACATTACTCGGGAAACCTTTCAAAGTGCGCGTCGCGAGTAAAAATTCACGTCCATCTTCGAGCCTTGGAGTAGGAACGCGAGAAAAAGGCTCCTCTGACACGGCGGCGAACCTTCGACAAATCGCGACGCGATATACGAAAGTAATAGCTGTCGCATTTAAAAATAAAGCGTCACGTCACAGACACTCGCGCGATTTGTTCTTATCGCACAGCGCCACGTGAGATAAAACCGATAATTTTGAATCTTGAGATCCCCGAAGACTATCAGCGACGTTGTTGAGACGCGGGATAGGGTATGTGTCATGAGTAGTAGCTTTTCAAGTTGTCAGTGCAACCTGAGGTGGAATTCCCTAAGGCGGCTATGGGTTCCAGACATCCCGCAATCAGAAATGATCGTTCGCCATTTCGTGAACGTACAATGCGCCTCTGGAGTTGACTCTGCGCTCCGAAACTTCATCAAACGCGTGCATGTTCGTGTACAAATACCCACGCGTAACGTTCAGCATGGTGGTAACTTTTCGTTACGAGTCTCCGTCACGAATATAGGCGATCGATACAACACACTTTTAATTTCACCGTCGCGTTAGCTGTTGAATAAGAAATGAAACACCGACAGGCGAATATGCAGGGTGTTTCCTAAGTACATATCACAGAAATGTAGGAGATAATTCCTCACATCAAAATAAGGACACAAATTTTTATGTGTCCTTAAATGCTTCATTTTCGAAACATAACTTTCGGAAAAGGTAGCTGAAAAAGTTTTTTTTTCAAATAAAAAGACGGTGAAATATCAAAATGTTAAATTTTGTGGCTATTTAGTACTGATAGTGAGTTATATTTTGAAATGGCTCTCGAGGAAATAATTTAAGGGTTAAAAACTAAGGGGTGACTATCCTTATTCTATGTGCTTATTTTTAACCTTATAGGTAGGGCGAATACGATCTTATTTTCGAAATTCTCCGGTACACAAAAAAGATATTCTTATTAGAATTCGCTAGTACGCACCATTATCGAGTGTTTTATTTTTGAAAAAATAAAATTGAATGAATAAAATTAAATGAATGATATATTACTTCTTCTTACTTTCTTTGAATAAAAATCAAAATTAAAAAATTTTATGTTTCACTATTTTTTATTTGCAAAAAAATTTTTCAGCTAACTTTTAGGTAGTATATCTTGAAAACAAAGCAGTTTAAAACATATGTTTTATGAAATCTTTTGCTTATTTTGATATGACGAATCACATCCTGCATCTTTTCGACGTGTACTTAGGAAACACCCTGTATGTATCGCCTGTATCAGTTTTTATTTTGCCGTGTCACGATTTTTCTGATGAAGTCGTTGAAAATAGCGATGCTCTAATTCCATTCTTTTCGCGCACAATCATTGAACAGTTAACTCGATATTTGCGGATTATATTGGCAATGGTCTGCGCTTTTTGCGCGGTTCGCATAATTCCACGTGTTTACGAAAATAGAACACGCCGGCTATTTCATCAAACCTTCAAGCGACGCATTTATAGATGAATTAAACCGATTATGTGTAGTCGACCTTTCGCTTGGGCTCTTTTCTAATCTAAGCTAGATGTTTTTATCTGTCCCCTTTTCTCGATTAATCATCTATTGTCCTCATTCAAGAAATGTACATAAAGAAAAAAAAATATCTAAAAAATAAAAAAATATTTATTCTAGCGGTGTGTGGATATTAACAACACATATTTACTTATAATAAATATAAAATATTTTTTTAATAAAGAAATATACATTTTCTTCAAATCTTTGCTTTTAAAAATGAATTAGTTATTTTATTTAAATAAAAGAATGTGAGTTTTAATAAATATGTTGTTGGTATCCATCGAATAAATATATTTTTGTTATTTTTCAGATATTTATTTTTCCCAATAAAATGAAATAGAAATAACGCGCTCTCATACATATACAATTATCAATAAGAAAAGAGCCGAAAGAGGATGTAGGTTGTGAATGTATTTATGTGCAAATGAATCATATTTGTTCAAATGTTTTGGTCGACATTTTCGAAAATTGTGGGAAATCTCGGCCAAAACATTTAAACAATTATGATTTATAGCTGTGATATTATAATAAAATAATGATTATTATGTTAATTAGTATACAAACATATTGACAACCTATATCCTGTGTCGGCGCTTATTGGCGTTTCTCTTTTTGCTAATAAACGTTTCCTTCTGATCAACTATTGAATACAAGAATTTCGCGTTACAGCTCAATAAGTTACCGTTATTAAAAGTCGTATTATATCCTACCATTTATATAAATCACAGAATGACTTATCGATCGCCGGACTCCACAAAGAACACTCCAAGCCAATTCTCCGAACGTGAAGAATTAAACGGCGTACTTCGGTACGAAATCCTTAAAACCATTCCGCTGATTATATAATCAAACTTGGTTAATTACCGGAGGTTTTTACTGCCTTGTAAAAAAAGGTAAAATCTAAAGCAAAAACTTAATACGCTATTACTATACGATGTTGTAAATTTAATCAAACTTCAAGTGCTTCTTGACATTATGCTGTAATATTAACTTACACATAACTCTCTTTTTTTTGCCGAACTCTCATTGCCTCAAGTGCTCAGATATACTTGGATGTCGCCGGTTATGTTGGACATAATAAAATTGCTCGGAGTATTGCGCAAAACTACGCAGTCGTCCTCGGTCATTTCTTTGTGGTATACTTGCGCGAATTCGTCCCGAATGAAGTGAAATTATAATGGCCAATCACCACCACCACACACATTGATTGTCGGGAAAGCTTACATCGCCCTTGTCTAAATTTACCATTCAGCCAATCAACCCAGAGAGCCATTACACTGTACTGCCGCAGCATACACGTATTATGCGTGGCTGATGATACGCTTATACCAACCGAACCGGCCGAATAAATTTATCAGAAAATCGAACAATCTGGCCTAAAGCCAAGCAGGTGGAAGCAACGTATGTATAACGCGTGTACAAAGGCCACATTTGCATAAAGCGATTGGATTTTGGGCGTGCGATACAATGGTCGCGACGCGAGAGACTTGAGGAAATTTGGCCGAAAATCATGAGCGATGATCGCTGGTATCGGCCGGCGAGTAACGCGAGTCATCAAGCGAGGTTTTACGAAATATTAGGAAATCGCACGAACAGTGCGTCAATACCCAGCGCCGCTTGTGATTTATGGCACGAGACGCGAGAACATGTCGGGTCAATGGCAGCATGTCGGACTCATCAAGCTCGGATCGTGGCCATTTCATTAATCTACCCATTACATCCGCGCAGATCATATATTTCGGTTCAACTTGCCGCGCCGGATGGAATCGGCTATGTATGTCTCTAAAACATTCATGAAGGATTGTCAAATACCTTATATAACGTGAGGATAATATTTTACAAAATATGTAACTTCACGCGCACAGAAGATCGGTGTTGGCTGTCAGAATGGTCGTATACGGCAAACTCGAATTCCGGACGCGCGTAAATTCCTCGGCACATAAATTAATGTACAATCGCGAAATAATGATAAATTTCATGGCGTGAAAGCCGTGTCGATATCTTCGAGGCTGGAGAAAAAGGAGCCTGAGAGTTCGTGAAATCAGCTGAGCATTTATATCTCCCGAAGGCGAATTCAGCGCTTCACCTTAACGACGGCTAGGGATCCGTGACCTACCTCAGAAAAGACTGCCGAGAGTGTGGGAGGGTTGCTCTAGAACGAATGATAAGAGAGAGAGAGAGAGAGAGAGAGAGAGAGAGAGAGAGGGCGGGAATGAAGAAGAAGGCTAGAGGGAAACAGGGACGGAAGAAGGAGACAAAAACCCTTTCTTACGTACCACCCCCGCCATTCTCCCGGCCACCATCTCTCCAACCCTTATCCTTTCTCGCGCGCGCGTTGCTCGATATCCTTGTCCGTCCTTATCCGATACGATGGCCTCTACCGTTCCGTTCGTCTGCCACAGTTCCGCCACCCTTGGACAATGTCCGTCGTTCAGATATCTTCCGTCTAATTGCTCTTCCTCCCTCCGTTCTCTCGTAGCGCGCGGAACCCCGGAAACGAATATCTCGGGATGACGTATGGACTTACTGCAAAGTACAGCGTGGAAGCAAGACGGGACGGGTGGCGGATAAGGGAAGAGGAGGTCTTTTCTTCTCCGGTGAAAGAAAGAATCTTATCTGCCGCTGGTTATCGCTCGGGGTTCGGGAGAGAGGGGGTTGCTGACGATGACCATCGTTCGTCCTACTCAACGATCGTGGATGGGAGCTCGATGGATGGAAAGGGGGCGGCGAGCACCTAGACGAAGTCGCCATTGTGCAATCTCGAACGTGAACGTTAAAAGTGACCTAATCCTTGATAAATTCAATAATTCCCTACCGCTGTGCTTTCTCGCTCTTTCCCTCCCTCTCTCATTGTCTTCCTCTCTTTCGGCATGCCGAATTTGTCGCGCTCTAATCAGAGATCGTCGAGTACCCCCGTCCTTGTCTCCCAGAGGCAAAGTTTATCGAATTTACCGCGAGGTGACGGATTCTCATATATTTGAATAATTGGAGAGCGCTACATATAGAACCATCGCGCTTAAATATTGATATAATGGCCCACAAACCGCGAGATATCCGTCTCGCAGCAACAAAAAGCACAATGCATTCCTTGTCGATGTCGGACAAGTTTGGAACGCTTGGAATATTAAATGGCCCGCTTCTCCACTTTCTCTCATGCTCTCTCAGCTTTTCAAATGTCATCAAAAGGCGGGCCGTTAAAGTGCAATTTGTCCGTATCATTCGTTGTAATAAACGGTAACGCGCGCTTCACCGTCCAAAATGGCGCCTAACCCCGGCAAACTAGAAACTGACCTCGCGTAACCGGTGTGTAGAATTTAGCAGCGAACGCCTGCCTACATCTAGTAATCTAGATCCGTCGAGATTCACAATTACTGTGCTCATTCGTGCGCACAGTAAACTCGCATAAATTAAACTGCACCAGTCGCAGGGACCATTTCGTTAAGCCACCATAATAAGGTCCGGTTTAACTGGTGGGAAGAAGCATCGCATTGCTCTGGGGAGCGGACTTTTCTTTTTGCAGACGCGCCCGCCGTGCACCAACACCACCGACGTCGGAAGACACGTCCCGGCGAAAGACTTAAATCCCCTTCTCTTTCGATTTCAGGTTTTCCACCAAGGAGTCGGCCACGCACGCCATCGTAGCGGTACACAACACAGACATCAACGGCCAAACGGTGAAGTGCAGTTGGGGCAAGGAAAGTGGAGATCCTAATAATGCTCAACAAACTGGACAGGTAAACGCGCTCTCTATCTCTTCCTTCTACTCGTCCTACGACAGTTTCGACGTGAAATTCCGCCCACCCTGTTTCCCCGATATTTACATCGCCGCTCGTACACCGAACTGGAGGGACCTCTCCCTTCTACCTTATTTCATGAATACACTCGCTCGATAGCTCCAAGCCGTAATGCATGAAAAGTAAGAATGGCGCGCGCATATCAATGAATATAAATCGTGAGCGGGTTCGACGTCGTGATCTAATCTCTCATGCTTAATAAACGCGTCAAAGTGGCAAGCGAGTTACTCGAGTTACGTGCGTCGTACACTTAGAAAACTCAAGCTTGCCGTTGTTATACGTGTCACTGAGGCCGAACAGTGTACACTCGGGTCTCAAAGAAACGCGAGCATTCAAGGAGGGAAGTAGTTACCAGGTTCGATCACGACCGGTTCCTTCCGGTTTCGCGCGGCTAAAGTGTCCCTGTCGGTATATCGGTACATAGAAGGGGGCTGGCTTGAGAGTCCGGCGAAAGAGTAAAGCCGGAAACAGTCAGAGAGAGAGAGAGAGAGAGAGAGAGAGAAAGGGGAGAGGAGATAGGGAATCGGGCAAGATTCCGGTCTATTCAGGTGCCTCTCTTCGAAGTGTGTCGGCCGGGTCTCTTAGCAATTAGCTCCGTTAGGACGGGTAGGTACGCCCGATCTGGGAATGGTACCCGAAGTACTTCCCAAACCCTCTCGCACTCCCCGCTAGTACTTCCGTGCATCCATCCACTGCTACTCGGCCCGTGACATCGCTCTAATTGATCTCTATTCCCATAACGCGCTTCTCCCGAGGGAGCCGAGATATCACGTTAGTACGTATATCCTGCCATACCCTGTTCTCGTATTCAACGGAATCGGATTGGTTTGCGTGATATCCCAGTTCATCGTGCCGCTTTAACGAAGAGCCGTAATGGCCGTACATTATTTTCGTCAACTTCTCGGTAGCGCGGCTATCGAGATACCGAAGATGCATTTTACATGTTCCATTTAACAGCGACGCGTCGTCGCCCGGTTCGACACTCATTCTCGCGAGAAAAAAAACTCGTAAATTTCCTGCACTACTCAGCGCTATCAGAAACTCGACAACTAATGGGAATCGGAAGAGAGATGAGACAACAGTCCTAATTTTGTGGTTCTGTGCTTCAAAGAGTTAATTGGATAATCTTGCGTTTCCTTCCGCATCACCGGAAGCTGATTGCACAATCCGGATTGTAGTCACCGAAATATTAACGAAAAATATCGCTCTATGATAATACGCGGAGAGATATATCGGGGGGATGATTTTAGTGGGGCGGAAGTGATCGCGCGCGTCTCGTCATTGTAACGTGCGCGCGAGGATCTACGGCGGAAGGGAGATTACTGTTCTCGACCCTATCGGCATCGTTAAGCATAAAATCCAGACAATGTTCTTGCTCTTTTCTATTTCATTGATCCCCGTGCTCTTTCAGGCGTTATCGTCGGCGACGTACCCATACTACGCGGCGGCGGCAGCTGCCGCCGCGGCGGCGGCGGGCGTCGCGGGTGTCGGAGGCGTCGGTGGCGTCGGCGGTGCCGGACAACTGGGATACTGGTATCCGCCCCAATCTTATCCCACGACAGCGACACAAATGCAAGCTGGTGGCTTTCTTCAGGGCATGCAGGGATACACGTATGGACAGTTCGCCGGATATCAACAGGCGCAATATATGGGGTAAGCTTTTCACGCGAGATAAGTTCTTCTTCGCCGACGCGCCACACGTTAGGGCTATTGTGCGAGAGTCTCGTTAATGCTAAAATTTCGCGTACGATCGGCTCCCTGAATAATCGAAAAGGAACAAAAGAATCGAAATTCCTGTCTAATATGAATGTATAATCCCCGCTCAATCTTTTAGTATCCGTCTCGGCGGATTTACCGCACGACGTGGCGGACTTTAACAACGATTCGGCGAATTTTAAGCCGAGCGGGCTTTAAAATTTGCATCGCTTTGAAAATCGAGGGCGCGCAGCTTCGATAATTATTCACGACTGCTCGGAGGAAGTTTACGTTTGCATTCGACATAGACAGACTCGTCGGTGTACGTTAATTTATTATCGAAAATGTGCGACCTTATCCAACGCCGACAGCGCAAAGTACGCTGCATCCGGACAGTTATCCGTCGAATTGGTCAAGTAATCGTGTCTGCCGCTTCGTCTTCGTAAAAAAAAAGAAACAAAAAATTGCGCGACTCGACAGTCACGTATTTCGTGTTTCTTATGAACGCAGAATGGGCATGGGTGTCCACGCCGCTGGCACAGCGGCGGGATGGGGCCAGGGATTACCTGGGGGACCACAGTTACCACCACACCACGCCACGACGGTCACGGCACCCCCAGGGGTGCAAGCCGCACCCCCGCCACCACCGCCACCGGCACAAATGATGGCCTACCCGATGCAACAGTTCCAGGTAACCATTACTTTATCTATCTCGCCTATGCGCATCGCGCGCGCGCCGTGCTCGTTTCTGTGGTGTTGGTTCGCTAACGTAGGAGTGTTTCGCTTTTTTACATACCTCTGCATCTTGTCCCTGTTACGTGCAAAGGCAGTTTTCGTCGCTGCCGGTATTGGCTTGTAAATGTTGCACGTGGAAACTCGATTCGATATCAAAAGGATCGAAGGCATGTGTCGGCAGAAAAAAGTACGCGCGGTATATATATATATATATATATATATATATATATATATATATATATATATATATATGTATGTTTATATGTGTGTGTATATATATGTATATGTATATACATGTATCCATATACACATATATTGTCGGTGATCTTAGGAAACCTCGTAAACTTGATACTGCGTATCATCCGTGAACTCGCGAGAGCGATAGAACTCGGCACGCTTCGCGAATGCTGCGTGGCCGCGCGCCCCAAACAGTTTTGCACAGATGAAATAGCGAAACGTGGTTACGGTAACACACGCATGTCATATAATTAGCTACGCACATGTATCCGGTGTAATATTTATTGACTTGAGTTGACGTTCATTGTGGGGGGTTAGTAACGGCGATATGATAATTTCGGCAATTTGCGCCGTGCGCAGCATTATTTACAACGCCCTGATTTCGTAGAATACATGCCGCGAATGTGGAAAACCACGATTTCTTAAATTGAATTACGAAACGGGAATTATGCGCTTAACGTCGCGAGCGATAATGAATTGCTCTTCCGATATAGCGCAACCGCGCGCGCGCGCTACATCATTAATCTTCGATTCGTTGGTAATTTCAATTTATGGATAAAACGCAAAGTCGCTTGGCATTAACGAATAGTGCTGCGTATAAACGAGGTGCGAATTATTGTGTCGAAAGCGCGTATGCGCTGCGTGCTTGTGCATCGAAGATTGCAATTTTAATCACGTATAAGCAGAGTTGGGTAAAAGAGAAAGAGAAGCGCGTTCGCCGTTGCAATAATCTTTCGCGTACGCGTAATTCGTAGTTGCGATAATCGAAGGCGGTAAGTATATTCGAGTGGTTACACACAGCACGTTATACCCATCTCTGCGCAAATAGATGTACAATTAATATTTCGTTTGCTAATCCCGACGAGCGTGTTTGTTTTGTCATAGACGAAGTTGTCCCATGATGGTAATGATTGTGTTACGAACGGTTGTGCGGTCGAATGTTTGTACTGTGCATGTCTACTAGATTGAAGTGACACAAGTAGCAACGGCGAGAAATGTACAACCGAGATACACTAATGCTACACAGCACTTCTACTATCTTGTGTGCCGAATTTCGAGATATACTAATAGAAACAGAAGACAAAATTGAAAGGTCTCATTCGCCTTGAATTTTTCTCCAATGAGTTGTCGATGCTAGAGAGTAATGTTTGGCGAAACATTGATGAGACTGGGTGACATGTGATGCTAAATCGTATCACTTCGATCTGTATCTTTCTAATGTGATCTCTGATCTGTTGTCAAGAGAAAGGAAGAGAGAGAGAGAGAGAAAGAAGGAGAGTAAGTTGCGCTCATTTGTAGGACGGAGCAATTTTTAGTTTTCCACGCGCCAGACATTGATGGAGCAAGACAGACTCACTTCCCGCTCGACGTATCGTGATTTAGATATGCTCAAAAAATTGTAGTCCATGGCACTGTGAGGTGAAATATGATACTTATCGCAGTTGTCCAGAAAAGTACACCTCGACCATTTTGTGCTTTTTCCGCACGGACTGCACATGTAAGAAAGTGCGCACACAGGTACACATCGCTAAAAACGACATAGCCGCAAAAAAATCTGGAATAGTTGAAAAGAGATCACGGATGGCTTCGGGCGAGCGCAGAGAATGCATTTCAACTCAGCACCGCTTCTAATGCCCTTCCCCTGCGATTCTTTTTGCCGCGAGAACAATTTCTGAACTTGACAACCTGAGATTTCAGAATTGAGAATGACTATCTTATAACTTATAAGAGCTCGCTAGAAATCCAACTATAAAATTTCCAAATTAACTCTCCGCTTATTTCTCATATACATTTCCACATTTTCATCGCTTATTAAATAAACTGGAAACGTGTGTACTTGATTTTCAAATATTTGTGGCTTTTATGTTTATTAATTATAACTGCATTATATACTGCATATGCACATACGCACACATTATGCATACATATATATAATAACATGACCCTTTTCACTAATTAATATATTGAATTCGTCTCGATTTAAGACTTAAATTGCAAAATTTCTTTCCAATTCTATGGAATGATAGAATTTAAATTACGCGATGGTCACTTTAAGTAATTAAATCAAACGGTGCGCGAACTCGCTCTCTTAGTATAATCGCGGTTTACTAATATATAATCGCAGGAAAAGAGAACGCATTTATCAATTACAAAAACGTGAAATTCACGGGATTAAGAAGTAAGTCGAATCAAACGGATAAAAAGTCAAAGTTAAAAGATACTTCAAAGGAAATAAAGTTATTGGAAACAAGAGAATAATTGTTTTCTGACGAGCAAGAGAGAACTAGTGGACTTAAGTTGAAATACGCGAAACCGAATTAACGGACGAGTGTCTGATTTGAAATCCGATTTGCCCGCCGATTCCATTCATCCGCCGTGACTTTAATCTAAGAATCCACGAGGATCTAAATGAGAGCTGGCGGGAATCAAATCCAATAAGCATCGCGACATTTCTGGTCCCTTAGAGTTAACGACGCGTGCACCTATATTTCCCGTACTTTGCGTGCAAACGGCTGCGTGCCTAAATACACCGTGAACACTTCTCTCCGCGCATGCACAGCATTTTTCGGCAATCTCGGATCGAGAAGGGCGACATATTTAATAATGGGGCGTACAGGAAATCCTTAGATAACCATTATCGACAGCGTGACTACGAGCAATTCGAGATAACGTCGCGCACTGCAAACGTTGTATCGATTTCGGCTTTCAGTCATTAATCTGCAGCTGTTTGCAGTGCGTAAAACAACCTGTCGCCCATATGTGCTTAAGAAGATATATACATTTCACGTAGCTATAGTTGCTTAAACGAGTCCTTTATGTGTGTCGCATACAACGGGGCAAAAGTCACGTACGATTGCTCGTCTCTATCGCATCGAAGGAGAAAAGTTAGCTCGCTTTCGCACAAATATCTCTCCCCTTCCCCTATTCCTGCCCCCTTTCCCCGTCCGAAAAACCGGGCTCGCATTATATCACTGCATGTCAAGCGAAATACCACTTTGAAACTTGCTTGAAAACTAGCCATCGGAAAGCATCCTCAATTGAACGCGAATTCTTAGTAATAGCGGCGATAAAACAATGAAAGAGCGATGAAACGCCGAAAATATATTGCCAATGAGTTAAATCGCGCCATCGGCTTGCCGTTTATTTAGCTGGTACCTTACTTGCAGCCGAACAACGTCAGAGCGCGTCGCGTTTTGTCATAATAACAGAATCCGACGGAGCACATTTATATGAACGTTCGCAATTTTGCGCTCGCAAAACCGACAAACTTAGACGGTGTGTCCGTATGGATTATGCAATTGTACGTTGATAGTTGTCAGATTTTAATGTATATCAAAACTTTACGAAGTATATATCGAGAGAGGAACAGAAAACCAGCCGATTAAAAAAAAAAAAGAAAAGAAAAAAGGCATCGATATCAAATCGACATCATAGATACAACATGAGTATGAAAAGCTAATCGCCTACTCTGCACAGATCTTGACTTGCATGAATATGGAATGCGAGATGTAGACATTGCATGCATTATGCTTCTTGCACTTTATCTAATTCGACTCGAGTATCCCACTGGAGCATTTTTATTTCATCTGTTTTTCTCCAAATAACGATCGGATTATGTTTTTTGCACGCTACATCATTCTTAGCGACATCGATAAGTCGAACAGTTACTTCAGAGCAACGTTACGCAATTTCAGGCAATCATTTACAATCACTCGCCGTCTATCAGCAGTCGTAAACTTAATATAGCAATGTATTTTTTTTTTAATTCACGTGATGTTTTAAACGTTATTCAAAAGATTGGATAGATCGATTGAGTATTACTCAAGTATTAATCAGTATCAATCAAATGATACATTCATTGTATTCTCATTATTCATTCATTCAGTCAGGAAGGGATACTCGAGATTTTTGGAAAAACTGTCTTTATTTACATATTTCGGTTCGCAGGCACAGTGATCGCTACCACTATCATCGCACGGCCTGGCTTATCCTTTCTTTCGAATATCAATTAGCATCAAGATAACTGCATCTACAACCTGGCTCAACCTCGCATTCAGCCTGAAAATACTCGCTGCGACGTTGTTTTTATACGCAAAAGGATAATATTTCCTACGAAAACATAAAAAGAACAAAAAAAGGAAAACCATGCGAGAAACCAAAAGCGAGAGAAGGGATGAGATGTCCGCATTTGTTTTTTATCGGCGTAAAAATAAAATAAAGAAAAAAATCACTGAATCCACGATACTCGATCGTAGATTTTGTAGCGACGTAAACTCGATCCGATTGCGACCGAAAAATTTACAGAAACGGAAAGAAAATATCAGGAAAAGGAAATACTTAACTCGCACGTAATTCTGCGTTCATTTCGCCGTTGTTGATGCGCGCTGAATCACAAGACGGGTAGATCGCTATTGTACGACTTACAAACGCTTATACGATTACGATGCAATTTTTACGTCCTTACTACTGCGCTACGCCGTGTAGTGGAGGTTGAGTCATGGTAAAGGTAGATTCAGATTGGTTAGAATCTATGTAGTAGGAGAGAAATTGTATGCGAGAGAAACTGTAACGGGGAAGCAAGAGTGAGGGGGTGATGCAGAAGCGAGAGACAGAGTGAATGGAAGGAAGAAAGAGAGCAAGAGGGAGAGAGCACATAAGAGAGAGAACGCAAAGACGAGTGAAAGAGAGGGAGAGAGAGAGAGAGAGAGAGAGAGAAAGAGAGAGAGAGAGAACTATATTGTCGAGCATATTTCTATTACTTTCTTGAAATTCGGACCAAGACTTAACCAGCGTTTGTGTGTTCAAATGGTAAAGTGTGTTCTTGGTTGCGGTCCAGCTAGCGGATGAGGACTGGCTGACGCCTAGCCTTCTAGTGTGATGGTAAGCAAGTACACCCCACCAACAGGAACTTCTACAGCAACAACAGTTACCACCACCACCACCATCACCTCCTCCTCCACTACTACCACCATCACCACCACCACCACCACTACCACCAACAACAACAACTACTACTACAACAACAACATTTCCGTCATCATCGACGCCACCGCGACAGCAAAAGCAGTAAAACTCATGCCACCTCCGGCTTGACGACGCGCGAGTCGAAAGGCGGCGATCACGAAAACCAAATGACACCCCCGCTTAGTAAAAAACAAAAAAAAAAACAAAAAACAAAAAAAAAGAAACGAAGAGGCAAGGTGAGGAGGAAAAGGAAAGATAGCGAATAAGAATCATAATCCTTAGGTAAAACCATTCCCCTCGAGAGCAAGATGCATCCAACATCCCTTCTCCCCGTAAAATTTTCACGTCCAAAATATAAGAGAAAGAAAAGCAAGAGCCGCTACCGATTATTAAGCGGAGATACCTCTCGTCCAGTCTGTAGGATAAATCTAGCATCTCGCTCGGCTTGAAGAAATAGATAGCGTTCGCCGTAAACAGTAGTGCCCGAAGCTTCGATACAGAATACGCGAAATCCGGCATACGCGCGAATTCGCCATGTGACGGTCCGACGAGTGGTGTGTGTGTGTTTTTTTTTCCTTTTTTTTCCCGTAGCGAAAACGGCCAATTACGCATACTATGTATCGTCCAGCGAGTACACAAGCACACGAGAAACATGAATCCGCACATGTTCAACGGGATCCCCGGTTATCAATGTTACCCGTATCAATGTTTATCAATGTTTTAACGATGCGTATAAATTCGGACGAACTGCGAAGAAACGGAAAGGCGTCGATACAGACCGCCGGATACAGACTCGTTACCCGGATTCATTATTTTTGTAGTTTGGGCTTGACAGCGAAAAAAATAATAATAACTCAAAGACGTAATGTCGTACGGCGCGCTCGCGCGGCCCGATTGCGACGGCCGGCGGGCGCGACCGCGGTGTATAAATGATAAATACAAAGATTGATTAACCGAAGCACACACGTGAGAGAGAAAGAGAGAGAAAGAGAGAGAGAGAACGAGAGAGAGAGAGAGAGAGAGAGAGAGAGCGAGAGAGAGAAGATATATAAATATATAAATATATAAATATATAAATATATAAATATATAAATATAAATGAATGAAGAAAATATTAACATAAAAGAATAAAAGTTATTATAAACGAAATTCTGCAATTAGCTAGTTAGATAGGCATATTATATTAAAAGTTGCTCGAGGCCGACTCGAAATTCGGCGGCAGGGAAGAGGTGGATCTTGCGCGTATATATTCGCGTACATAACGCAGCGTTTATACCGAGGGCGAGGCGCAATCGGGTCCTTTCGTACAACTCTCCCCCCCATCCCGCCCCCCGTGACGAAAACCACGGATCTACCGGATCCACGTGTCTTATTCGATTTTTGCCATAATGCGAAGACTTCGTACAATTCAGTTGATGATAACACTTATTTATCGGACTCGTGGCCAAACGACAATTTGCGCGTGAAATCTTCGCAGCGGGCGGCGGTTCAGCAACCATTTTCTATCAATCGAGTCTGTCTCTCGGACGCGGCACTTAGGCCAGTTGGATATTTTTATAATATACGATCAGAAACACACACGTGTGCGCCGTGGCAGGCATCGACGAATTAGCGCGCGTTTTGGGCCGGGAATGGCGATGGGACGCGCGGAACGACCGATCGCGTACCGGGGTCTCGCCGTGGTTTTTAAGTAAACGTTAGATTTTTATATAAGACGACTACGTAGAACCCCCCAGTGTGGAGGTCGGGACTTTAAGGCGTTTAAGCAATAAAAGAGTTCAGTTCGGAAAAGGAAGCGGGCAGCCATCGATCCCTCCGTCTCTCTGTGAAATAATCTCGACTGCGTGGACGAGAGAAACACACGAATTCTTAACAACGAACGAAAAACATAACTAAATAAATAAAACGAGTAAAATAGCTAGACAAAGGCGGTGCGCGCACGCGTACATACTGTAATTGTCCGAAAAGCAGTGAAACGATCACGATCTCTCCGGTGTCCCGAATTTCGACTTGGCCAAACTCGATACAAAGAAAAGACGAGACCGAAATCGGTGTAAGTCGCGGAATATGTAAGAAATGCGTGAGTGCAATCGTATATATGGAAGAGCGCTAGAGAATGTGGGAGAAAAGTGAGTGCGAACGAACGAACATGCGAGAAAGAGAAAGAGAGAGGGAGGGAGAAAGAGTGAGTGAGTGTCAGTGAGTGCGAGAGAGACAGAGTGAGAGTGAGTGCGAGAGAAAGAGAGAGAGAGAGAGAATGAGAAAATGAGAGGGAGGATGAGCGACAAATAAAAAATATACAGCACAAGAGAGAGAGAGAGAGAGAGAGAGAGAGAGAGAGAGAGACGAAGAGTGGGAGGTTAAATAATTCGTAGGTAGGCACATTGCACCAACAGCACGAAAGTTAGATTAGACAAGTTTTTCTTTTTTTTGTGTGGGTTGGGGGGTTTGTCCACGCGTGCCCTGTCCGCGCGGCAGCCGTTTAGGGATTCGAACGTACGCAACCTTCATCATCGACGTGCTCCCCCGCCGTTAAAAAATATCAGTTCGCTGAGAAAGAGAGAATCGACCAAGAAGGGGATGGGACGCGAATCGACGAGGTGATAGCACGAGCAGTTTCAATACTTGAAAAGATGGGAAGAGCGGCTGAAACTTACTGCAACCCGTCTCCGTTATCTCCACGCTCGATCTTTTGTATCTCCATCGTCCTATCTCTCGCTCCTCATACCCACCACACCCGTTCTCGCCCCTTCGGTTTTAAGTACCGCGGCTCATGCTCGTCGCATCGATAATATCTTGTCTCTCCTCTTTTCCTCAGACCGCGGAGTTTTTGCGCAGGAACAACGAGTGAGAACAGTAGGAACGGACGCGTATCTAATGCGGAAACTAACGAAACTAAAACGAGCTCCGAGCTCTCGACCGTCAAGGGGGGCCCCAAAAAAATATAAGATTTATCTCGAATCTCTCTTTTTCCTCAACTTATGTGCATCTACTTCAACATTAGATATCAGTTTGTCGCTTGAGTTTCCATGCATCAAGCGACCGTGGGAACATGAATTAACGTTTCTTTTCTGGTTTCACTACTTCACTCTCTCCATCCTTGTCATTATATATCCGTTGGTAATGCTACCGCAGGCGCAGCCTTTGAGGTCCCGACGACGAGCCATCGTCTGCCCTTGCGTGTTTGAGATTTGGCATTCCCGACGTGGCTCGACGCGAATTTTCAATAGTACTATTCTCCCTTGTATCGGGAAACTCACGGCTCGAAAGCGTTGCGCTTTGAAGGGGATGCGTGATGACTCGTCTGACGTCTCTTCCGAATGAAACTCTCACGTGACACCACGTATCCCATGTACACGTGATCCATAATTTCGCCCGCGAGAGAACGCGAGAGAACGTAAAAGACGAGAGGAAAAAAAAGAACGGAAAAAAGACAAGAAAAAAAGAGAATTAAAAGAGGAAAAGAGAGAAGAGTCGGGTTAGATAGGTATGTGGATGGGGAGAGTTCGTCGATGATGACTGAAACGAAAACGAGATAAGACGAGTGATAGACGACTTTGTTATTAATCAAAAGACAGACGGATCGTACTTTAAGCGAATCAAAAGCGTGTTCGACGTTCCTCAATCAAAAGTAAAAAAAAAAAAGAAAGAAGAAGAAAGATCGATGATTAAAGTGCGACGCGCGGGTACTCGAGACGCGGCGTGAAGGGAGTGAAGAAACGGCACAATCAAACCTGCCCAACATCGCGTAGAGTTTAGATGTTTTGCGATGAAAGTAGTGTCTATCGTCGATCCGTCGCGCGATTGTGTCGACCGGCTAAAAGAGTGGCTTTTCCATGAGAGGCAAGCTCGACAATAAAAATCGCCACAATTCCAGTATTTTCTATCGCGATGAGTGAATCCCGATACAGTGATTCGTACGTAATCGAAATTAAGAGTGATAGTCGTGTTGCTGCTACGTGCGTTTTATTGGCTGCGTTTGTGTGTCGCCTCGCTTTATTCGCAATTTACAGATTTCAGGGAGAGTATTTTAAAACGATTCTCGGTGCGCAGAGACTAGCGTCCTGAGTTCTGTTTCATACATTTCGGCAAAGGATTATCGGAGGACATCTCGCTGGGTGGATTTCTATAATTGGTTCATTGCTCATCATTATCGCGCTGTATTATCGTTATTATCATTAAACCGGTATGTCAACACATTCTATGATGCAATCAGAGTGTATTAGAAGTATTCACGTTCATATATACGTTCAAATATTTTCTTTACCTGCACATAATTCTCCTATACTGAATGCATTTTTAGCTTATCCCAAATTTTCCACCTTATTATACCTTTAATTTAGTGCAACACGTGTTTGATATCCTTATTTTAATTGAGTTTTTATACAGATTATCATGCATGATCGCACGTTATGTAAACACGATCGCGATTACTTCCGGCATTTCTCGCATGTTCTAATCGAGCATTGATCCTTTAATCATCTTTCGACTTATTTTTCTCGTAACCTGCACACTGAAAACAATTTTGTCTATATCGTTATAATCAAATGTTATTATCTTCCGTGTGACCAGTCAATTATCTTTATAGCGTGTAACGATAAAAATTTCGATAAGACCGTTCATAGTAAATTAGAACTCGATTTTTCCACGAATGCTAACGAAATATTGGATATCGCGTGATTGTGCAACATCCGTAAATTGTTAAGAACATTAAAAGTATCAGGGAGAAAGAAAAAGAGAGAGAGAGAGAGAGAGAGAGAGAAAGAGAGAGAAAGAGAGAGCAAGAGAGAGAGCGAGAGAAAGAAAGAGAGAGAGAAAGAGAGAAAGTGTATAGATATATATGGCGTACAATATAAAATGCAGGTTACAATCGTGATTTGCAAAAGTTTTGCATCATTTAAAATTCTAGCGCTTAAAATGGAATCGTCATGCTAACCAAATCTCGTTTTCTACTAGAAATTGGGTGACTAGCCTCGAGGACACGGCACGAGTATGCAAAGAGAAAGCAACAAAATTATAAATAAATATATATACATACATATAAATACAAATGCATATATATGTATATATTATATATATAAATATATATATTTATATATATATAGCTACACACATATATATATTTATATATACTTATATATATACAGATATATCCACAGATATACACACTCACTTACGCGCAGCGGCGGCGAGGGCTGTTATTTTCAATCGTCGTGCGTAAAACAAAGCGCTGTGCGTGAGAAAGTTAGCTCGTAAGAAGCGAACATAAGTAAAGAAGAGAAAAGGGAAAATATCGTGTACATTATTAGTTAGGCGAAAGAAATAAAAATATAGGTTATTTTTGTGAAAGGTGGAACGAGCGAGGGGAGAGAGGGAGAACGCGGAGACCGAGTGGCAAGTGGGACCCAATGGCAGATTGTAATAAGAATTATGCAATAAGAACCCGTTATTATCGCGTACATTCGCATCTGTCAATCAAATCCGGTACAGTGACGTATTCCCCGGGAGGCGTTCAACCAACAAAGGGAAAAACAAAAAAAGAGTTAATCGGATCTGATGCACTCTACTTTTACGTTCCTTACGTTCCACCCAATCGCTCCCCTTGTCGAATTGCTCGCTACGCACTCCGACTCGATTCCACCTTCGACAGAGAAAAAGTGAGGGATCCTGCACTCTTTTAAAGAATCAGCGTGGACGCCCGATCGTGTAAAAAGTATTTGAAGAAAGACGCCTTAAACATTAAGGCGTATATGATTTCAAGTAGTACCGTACGTTGTCTAGGGCATATACCGAGTGGAGCTAGCCGATTTGAACGGAGTCGACGCGTTAAATGAGAAACCAAAAATGTAGTATAAAAAGTGATATATATATATAAATATATATAGATAATTATTAATGTAATCTAACTTATGTAGTAGGCAAAAGTAATGAAAGGGAAGACAAAGGGACGGTGGAATCGCGCGCGGAAACGGTGATTAGCGGGAAAAACGGGCGAACCGGGGCGATATGTAAGATGTAAAAAAAAGAAAAATAAAGGAAAGAAAAAAGAGGGACACAAGAAGGTATGCGAACTCGACTAGAGAGCCATACAATGTAGGGCGAAACTGGCGAGAGATCCACTTACGGTACCTAAACGTCGCGAACGCATCCGGGAAAAGGCGCGCGAGTGCGTGGACGCGCGCGCGCACGTGCGAGCGAACGCGTACACACGTGGTGTAAAAAAAACATATACGCGTATGTAAATACACACTACACCAAGTACACAAAAGATGCACACAGCGTACGTGTAGTTAAGTAGCGACGCGAGAAACTTAACAAAAGCTCTAGACGTAGTCTAGTCTAGTCTAGCTTGTCGATCACTAGGTTAACGAGTAAGAAGACGAAAAAAAAAGCGTTCACGAAAAATAGTGCAATAACTATATCCGCAAATTATACTCAGCACCCAAGATACACGGCACAATACGGCAGGACGCGTGTATATGCATACATTTACTAAAAAAAAGAAAAGAAACAACAGACACGTGTACACGTACACACCGAAAGAGAAAGAGAGAGAGAAACAAATACACACAACAGCATACACACACATATATAACACACGTGCCGCGGCTGCTGCCTCCATCCTTCGCTCGCGTCCTAAAAAAAAAGTCGTAGTTCTCAGATTCTATAACCTGGTAACGTGCTGGATAGCGTGAGATTCATGCCGCTTCAGGATTTTTACCGTCGCGTCGTTTGAGCTTCAGCGAGCGACCGCACCTGACCATCCAACCTCTCATCGAATCACCACATCCTCGAGTTACAACAAAATTTAATGCGTGCCTTTTTTCTTCCTCGATTCCCGAATTCCCGTCACGTAGCGTGTTTCCTCTCTTCCCTCGTAGTATCTCGTAACGGGTGCTATGTTATTTCCACCCTCCTTCTTCCCCACCCGTGCGTCTCTACCCTCGATGCTCTCTTATTTGTTTCTCACGACCGATATGTCCCGACGCCATCCGCGCACGTTCCTCCGCCCGGACAGACTTATCTCGCGGAGACTTACCAAACGATAGTCGACAATCATTGAAGAAACATACATTTAGAAACTTGTACGTGTTCTTTTCACCGAGGGCTAGGTATTAATTATCGTTACCGACGTGTTTGCACAAGTCCCGTGCAGGCAATGGACAGAGGAGGTGGCGTCGGTCCTGGGGGAAGATAAGAGAGCAAGGAGTATCGATTGCCCGCGATGTGCTATCCTATCGTGTTCGCAATGCTTTCGCCTCCCCGCGAGTGCACCACAAAACGCGATTTTGATAACGATCGACACGTAGGCACCGCGAATGCACACACGAAACATATCATCGAGCCAATCAGACGATCCTACCGCTCCCAATTAGGAACTGCAATGAGGGACGTGGAATGCAATTAAGCAATTGGTGCTTCGAGTTACTCGAACCGTCGTTGTTCGCTCGCGAAAGCGCTTTCTCTCTTTTTTACAACGATATATTGAACCGCGTGACCGTTTCAGAGAAATCAAATTTAGCTGGCCGATCAATCTGAGAGAAACAAAAGGAACAGCATTTATCGTGCGCTTATTTCGATTTCATCGCGAATCGCGCGAGTAGCAGTGACAATCGCCTAATAAATTTACTTGGATACAATCTCAGCGTGATATCGAGAGAGGCAGACAGAGAGAGAGAGAGAGAGAGAGAGAGAGAGAGAGAGAGAAAAAGAAGTATTTATCGATTGCATCTACATAAAAGATAAACGAGACATTTTGGTTTCATTCGCGACCGTGAGCTTTCGCTAACGCGACGAATACCTACGAACGGCAATTTATTCGGAAAAAGGCAGCGAATTATCGGGATTCTTTGCGTATCGATAATCGACATAGCCATATCAGACGCGTGGTTTTTTACTCGATAATCATCGACTGTTGTAGAAAGTTAAGCAGAGTTAATTTTCGAATTTTCACGAAATATTGTCGTTCCATTAGCGAGTAAATTGCAACTAAATGCGAGCGAGTGAACGCGCGCGCGCGTATTCTCATTCATCGTCGATAAAAAGCGCGAGGTGCATTTATAATTAAATTATTTACATCGAGACGCCGCTCGCGCGAGTCTAACATAATTCTTAACGGGACGAGGGCAGCAGTCGGGCCAAATTGGGATATTTAACCGATGCAAAGCACCTGGAAACAGCTTAGTGTTAGCGCAAGGATGTTTAAGAGAAAAAAAAGCACACAATGAAAGAAAAAACAAAAGTAGGAGCCGTAAGCGTAGATACCGAAGCATAACATAAAGTAATGTATGTATATGATCATATGTATTACAAGAAAGACTACAAACGAGACACGCGCATCTATATGTAATACAGATATGTATATTATATATACATATATGCATATATGTGTAAGAAGATAATATTAGCCAACAGATAGAAACTATATCGAATCTAAGCTTAACGAGATGGAGGTGGGAGCGAACGAATGCGGGTGCGTGACATCTGTAAATGCGCGCCCCGCGACATACTGTGTTAAATACCTTTAGCCGTAAGAGAGAAATAAGGAAACACACACACACACATTGAAGCGTAACTCGTAAGAGAAAATAAATGTTGCGGCTAGCCTGCTGGACCCCCGTGCCCCTAATTATAAATACGTGTAATGTATGGCTAAAGAAAGAAAGGGAGAGAGAGAGAAAGGGAGAGGGTGAATGAAAGTGCGTGAAAGGAAGTGTGCGTGAGAGAGAAAGAGAGAGAGAGAGAGAAAGAGAGAGAGAGAGAAAGAGAGAGAGAGCAGATGAACAGGGCGAGCATGCGAAAAGGAAAGAGGCAAAAATCGAAGGGAGTGAGTGCGTCGGGAGGATGAATCCAGTGAAAGAGAGCGAGAGAGTGAGAGCGAGCGAGCTAAGAGAAGAACGGAAGAGTGAGAGACAGTGATGTAAGCGCGCCTCAGCCGAGGAAAACGTTCCGAAGAGGTAAAAATCCAAAGAGAAGAACAACAAAGAAACACAATTGCGATCGCGTCCGATTGTAGAGAGAGAAAGAGAGAGGAAAGAGAGAGAGAGAGAGAGAGATTACGACGTTCCTTTATTATTCTCGTAGCTTTTCGTATGACTTGACGAATTCTACGTTGCGGAGCTCGTGCGGGTATAGATATGGCCCCTCTCCCTATCCCGGTGCGGTACGCGGCATATCACTTACGACCGTACGCTAAGAAGTTAGGTGCCTTTTTCCACTTCTTTATGTGTATGCATTTCGGTAAAGAGAAAGACAACGAGAAGAAACATAAGAGGCAGAAGAGAAGAGACACGGAGAGTTTAGAGAGACGCGAGAACAATCGGGGGGAGGGGGCGAAACGTAAACCGGCGAAGCATACACATATTGCAATATCACACATAAAAAAAGAAAAAAAATACGGCACGGTGGAGCTCGAGGGAAGGGGCCGGTACGACATCCATCCATCGTGCATCGTTCAGCACTGTGCTCATATGTATATTGCGGTAACAGCCTCCGGAATATAGGTGTGCGACACGTGTGTATAGGAAGCAAGAGAGAGAGAGAAAGAGGGAGAGAGAGAGAGAGCGAGAGAGAGAGGGAGAGAGAGAGAGAGAATCAAACGTCGTAATAACAACCGAAATGCGACGCGGGGGCGATCAAGCGCTTTGTGACTTAGGTATACTTCCGTGTTTAAACGTATGGCCCGCGGGGTCCCATGGCAGCCTGCATTGCGTGCTTAAGTTTAAGGAACTGGGGACGGCTCGTGAGCGACACGCCGAGCGCGAAAGCTGTATTAATGTACATGTAATTTGCAACGACGTGACATACGCGCGGGCGCAGCGGGCACAACAACAACAACACGACAACAGCAAGTACACAACTACTACTACTATTACTACTACTACTACTACTACCATCATTACCACAACAACAATACATAAAACCGTGCGTAGGGAAAACGCGAGGGAACGAGTGCCGATGTATTACGCGATGTGAGACAGTAGAAACAGACGCGTATGCACAGGCACGATAGGGGATGCATTACACTAACGGAAACAATTTTCACACGACACACGTATACACGACACTACCGCGAGACGCCCTGGAACGTGCGTAAGAAAAATGAAAAAACGTGTATGATATTATATATACATAACATAGCATATAAAGTACCCTATAAATAATGATGAATATAAATAAAAATATATATAAATACTATATAAAAAAAGTAAACAAAGTATAAATATGAAGGAAGTATATAAACGAAAATATAGGATAAATCACACATAGGCTTAAGAATACAAGATATTATTATGATGATGTATGGTTGGTTTATAATGTAAAATATATTATAGAAAATGTATATGTCTCTTTTAATTTTGAATCAACCCTCCGCATTTCATCACCCTGATGACGAGATTGCTTGCTTAAGGAATAATGAGAAAATATATGCACGTGATAGAGATGCGTCCTAACATATCGAAAGTCGTACTGATGAGTACATTTTCCAGCCTCGTCCATGAAACGAAATATCACAAATTGAAGAAAAACAACAGGAAATTCGTGCAGAGACTCGAGGAGGCGCGCCTGCTCGAGAGAGAGAGAGAGAGAGAGAGGGGGAGAAGAGAGATGCAGGTAAGTTTACACTATAAAAATTTATCACAATAAAAGATCTGCAAGAATAGAAAAGTAGCTTGTACTTTTTCTCGCGCGGCTAGACTAATTTTGCAACGATAATCTTTGCCATCTGTTTATATGATGAAAACAAAGAGTATTTAACTCTAAGTACAAACAGCGCGTAACGATTAAACGTTTGCATTCAGCGGTAATTAAACGTAAACATCGTTCGCATCGATAGTAGTCGCGAGATATAACGGCTGTATACGCTTGTTCTACCCGTTAAAAAAATAAGGGACGTGCGCGTTGCGCGCCACAACGCGGGTAATTATACAGACGCAGCAAGCACGGGGACGAGGAGAAGAGAAGAAACGCTATGTCGCAGCGCGCAAAACACCAATCGAAAAAGAAGAGCCGGGAGTTACGGTGCGCTGACAATTTAATCCTGCAAACATTTGCGTATTCCGATATCTCAAATAATTTCCACGTTACAGGCATACAAGAACATCTTGAAAACTCGGTCAATAAATGCCGCTTGAATCGGCAGGAGATGTCTATTTGAAATGTTCCAAGAGACAAAGGAGAAAAATGCACACTGCTATATATGCAAAGATAGATTTAAACAGCTCCGACGATATCGCGCATCACTGCAGAAAATATTCAACATTCGTTGCGTCTTTCAAAAGTGTGAGGCTCTTGTGACGAACGCAAGAGCGCCGAATGCTTCCTGCAGTGACTGAACGACGTGTTTCTACGTACATTCAAAAGTACCACAAATCCGCCAGTCAGTAATTACCGAATAACGCGAGCGACGACGTGTGGCGCGTGGCGAAATTGAAAATGAACCGACGATCTCCAGAGCAAGCCTCGCGTTGGAAGCTGCGGATACCACTCTGTGAATGCACCCTTTGTGCGAGGGTCTCTCTCTCTCTCTTTTTCTCTCTTTCTTCCTCTCTCCACATATTCGCGCACACCTGCGTACACGTTTCTGCGTAGACGGGAGGGATCGTACGTTGCGTACAGCCGGTAGATATAGTCGCGCTTAATTGCGAGGCAGGGGTGCGGTGCCCGGTTATTTTAGCCCGGCTGACGGACGCGCGGACATGACAGCTGAGAAAGTCCGAGCTCCCCGTTCGTCCCGCGCGTGCTGCAGCATCGCAGCAATGCTCAACCACTCACGTGTCGCGTTGCACTAATTATTTTCTTGGCCGTGCTAATTTCGCTGCGCCGGCAAGCGTCGTTTCCTTTTT